ACTACATGAAAAGTTCTACAAAACTAGAGGCGACAAGATTATATTCTTTTACGAAATGACTAGTAAAAATGAGTAAACAAAGTGAGTAAAATTTGACCCTGTGAATAGTGACTGGGAAGATCTATGGTAACATGAATAAAATAATTTTTAATACGTTTTATTTTTAGAATGTCTCAAAAATATTAAAATTAATTTTGGGAAAGGGGTATATAAAATTTTTATTCATAATAGATAAAAAGGTGAAATATTTTCTAGGTCCATTTACAATAAGTGAATTTTATGTTTGGTCCCACTAAAATTTTTTGTTGCTAATTCATTCTCATAAAATGCTATTTTTGCAAATGATCATCCCACCAAATCACCAATATAGAGCTAATGACAGGGTTTAAAAGGATCAAAAATAAAATCGCTTGAAGGACCAAAAACATAATCCTTATTAGCTCCAAATTGGTGAGAGGATGGAGAACCATTTGAAAAAGAAAAAAAAACTACAGGAATGAATTAACAACAAAATTTGTTAAAAAGACTAACACAAAATTCAGACAAAAAATATATTTACCTTAAATATACCCTCCATCCCTTTTTCCCTTTGTCCTTCCTAAAAAAAGGCTTCACCTTTATTTTCTTTCTATTCTACAGTATTGCACTGTTATTTCACACCCATTTGGCCATTTCTTTCTCTCCTCGTCCTTCTGTTTCTATGTCGCCTATTCTTTTGCTCCGACCAAATAGAAAAGATGTAATTGTTACCTCATCTGTGTGGTGGAAAACAGAGGACAAAACAGGAATAATTTGCATCTTGGTAGTGAAATGGACGATCCCAAGCAACCCTTTCAATTGTTGCAAAGAAACAATGACCGCTGCTCCAGCCATGAACCCAAGAAGGGTTGCCTTTGATAGAAAATCTATTATGAACCCTAACCTGCAAAACAATTCAAAAATCCCATTTTAGTGCAAAACTACATGATTTTTTCCCCTGAAATTTTTGTTTTCTGTTCCTCTGAGAACAAATTTAATTTTATGAAACCTTGAAAAAATGGGTTTCAATTTTTTGTTGGCACTTTTCAAAGTTAACATTGTTAGATTATGGAGTCTGATGTAAAGTATTTCCTCACTTTCTCCCTTATTTTGATCATAGTGTGTGTGATCCTAACAAACATGACTAGTACTATTAATATGCATTTTAAAAATCAAAAAAACAAAAACTGAAATTTGTTGACTTTTCCTAAAAATAAGGTTGCAGCTTTAAGTGAGACTAATGGCAGGGGAATCAGTTTCAACAACTTTCCATAGCCCAGAGATTTCAACAACAGTGTCTAAGCTCTGCATAAAAAGCTTCAAAAATACCTGAAGAATCCCAAAGAGGCTTGAAAGATTCCAGCAACAAATGTGGCAGTGAAAGCCATTTTAAGGTAAAGAACATGGTCATCTCCTCCATGTGGAACTCCCTCAGTAAGCATTGTGCCCATCACAAGGGAAGCTATAGACACGGGCCCCACCGCCAGATGCCGGGAGCTCCCAAGAAGGGAGTACACCAACGGCGGCACAAAGCTCGAATCTGAGACCCAACCAAACATGGCCATAAACTCCGTTAGAATATAAAACCTTTTCTGTGCCTATAAGTTGACTGGGTTAGTTTCTTATTAGGGTACTAGAGGTCACAAATTCGAACTTCATCATCACATAATTTAAAAATAATAAAACTCGAACAAAAATAAATCTCGTCTATGCATGAGGTTTATTGGTGTTTGGTGAAATTTAAACAAAGTTCATATTTGGTATTCACTTTGATATCTCCAACAACCACTAACCACCTCTCCTACCTATCTCTAACTAAAACCTATTGTTTCAGATTTTAAAATTCATATCATTTTGACGATTTCAAAATTGATATCGTATATTCATATCATATCAATTGTCTAAAACTCAATAAATAGGAGTATAAAAGCTTTTTTGAAAAAACAACCAGCCATAACATGTTCATGCTTATCTATCAATTTATAAGAGCATATATACTCACAGAGGCCGATGATGGGTGGCAAATTGGCCAGTTTGGCATAACTGATGCCCTGAGGGATGGCGAGACTGGCAATGGTGAGGCCTGAGACGACATCCGACCGGAGCAACCGGAGGCTGTAATTCGGGCCCCACTCGAGAACGGGGAAGAAGAACTGCAGACTCAATAGCAGCTTCTTAACCCTAGATTGGTCCTTGAACATGTGGAGGGGATTATCCGGGAAGAAGATCTCTCCCAATCGCTGCCTCAGCTTCTGCACCGTCGTCCTGTGCGGCGGCATACAAACCCTGTGAACTTCCAGCGGCGGCGGCGCCGGCATTCCTCCGTCGCCGGGGATGGACAGAACGGCGGAGAAATTCTCAACCCTCTTCGAGTTCATCCCGAAAGCGAGATTCGATTCGAATCTGTGCGAATTGGAGGGGATTTGAAGGGGGAATTGAAAGGGAGTTTCAGTTTACAGAGGAAGTTGGGGACATGGAAACTGGCGAGGAAGAAGAAGAAGGTCGGCCGCCATTTATAGAGAGGCCAGATATTGAGAGCACTGATTGCAAGGCGGCAACGGTTTATAATAATGCTGAAATGCTCCGACGGTATATTCTTTATTTTTTTCTTTTTTTTTTTTAAACAAATCAAAAAATGAAAAAAAGAAAATCTGTTTTGGTAGATTGAGTATTGACTCCCTATGACATGGTGACATAAATGTCTGATTCTTGTTTTGGCGTGGCGTGTCATTAATTAAAATTGCAAAAGTAATTTTTTGAAACCCACTTTCATATCTCTTGATATTAGATTTTCTTTTTTAGTTTTTGGTGTCGCATAGAAAGAATTCATATATGTCTCCAGATACTGCTAATTCTTAGAATGGATAGATTTGAAATCTCTCGAATTTGAGAGATATATCAATGTATGGATTTAAAATCGTCCTCCCCGATGACATTGGCAATCACTAATTGTATCATAATTTTAAATTTTTCCAAACAACTTTATTTCAAATTTTGAAACTCATATCATATCATATCTTAAACTCATCAAATAGGCCCACATTGCTTTGAAATATTTTTACTCAAAAAAGATGAATGAGTTTAAGGGCACGTTGATGAGACTAGCAGATATGAATTCTGAAAGCGCTCAGCATTTAGATTTGATAAATCCAACTATCACAACCTCTACAAATGGAGGAATTGATATAACAAATTTATAGCGTGGGTCCGAGGGCGGCATCACCCGGTAGCAGGGTCCAAGGAGCGGTAGCTCATAGCGGGGTTCAATAGGCATAGCCCCTAGCCGGGGTCAAGGTTATTTTGGACATTATATTATTGCTTTGTGAAAATCTTTTAGATTTTCGTAAACAGGGTCCAAAATATATAATATCTAAACGTATGGAAATGCATTCTAAATAGCCCAAACCGCATGCAACTCTCTTCGTGTGAATGTTTTTTTACGTAAAGAGTCATGCCTGATCAATTTTCGTATCTACAAATACAGAGACACATGGTATGTTGCGTGATCGATTCTTGATACTTGTTCTTGAATTAACTTTTTTCCGATTGAAGTATTTTGCATTGGCATACCCGGAAATAATTTTAATATGAAAGCGTGTTCTCACGAGATTCATTCAATCTATCAAGTTCATTCTTCATGTTTGTATACCTTCTTCATAATGTTGCTTCCTAGCGTTACGATTCCTTTGAATACAATCCCAACATCCTTGCTTACCAAGCATAGCAATAATATTAAAATTCAATGTATTACCTTTTTCCCTCATATTTTAGAATTCTATTTTTTATTTTTTTAACAAGTTCATTAATAGGTAAAATTTTATTATCGCATATATATCCTTTTTTATCAAAAATGGATAAATTAATTAAGACAATCAAAACACTCATTTTATTTCCACTACCGCCCTCAATCTAGAAGAAAAATACCATAATTCTGAAATCTGAGTATTGCCCCCACTTTACAAAGTTTCTTCTTCTTTCAGAGCCCTATCAGTTAGCGGGGGGGGGGNTCTACAACTCCTCCCCATCACTTGTCTAGTAAACTTTGATCTCAACATATCCTTCTTGGTTGGTGGTGATTCTCAAATCTAGTTGTGTTCCTCTTTGATGGTGGTGTTCCTCTTGGTTTGGATCTTGTTTATTAGTTGCTTTCCGTGGTGGCGTCGTGAAATGCAGATCTAATTTGCTCACCCCTAATCCTTGGGATATATATCATCCTTATATGATCAGTATATGGATTCTTATCGTAAGATCTATTTTAAGTGTTTTAACCGTCTTTAACTCAACAAAATTTATATGTTATGTTTTCTCTATTATTCTATATCAGAAGTATCTGATTAATTAATTAAAAGAGTCGTTATTTTACTCGTTATTAAAAAGTGAAATTTAAACTATATAGTACTAAAACATACGAGTATGTTTTTTTCCCAATGCAGTGTCTAAAACTTTTTATTTTCTAAATAATACTTTCATAATGTCTAGTGGAGGTGAATATTTACTTTGAATAATGTTCAGTAGCATTAGATATTTACTTGAACAATGTCCAGTAGACATTAGAATATAAAAATATATAATACTACATCGGGAAACTCCAATATTCTAGTACTATGTAGGCAAATTTCCCTATTAAAATAATCTCCCTCAATCCAAACCAAACACAACATTAGTAGTTCAAACGTTGAAACTGCGTCAATTTTTTACATCTCAAAAATATTCTAATTCTCTACTCGCGTGCCTAAAATTGGCACATAATCCATTCCAATTTGCATCTTAGAACGAATGCTCGCCAGTCATGATCAACAAATTATACAGTTAGACTGCATGTTTTTTTTAAAAAAAATATATTCTCTACACACAAATGGGGCCATATATACACTGATTTTTATAATATATACTCCCTCCGTTCCGCTATATTCGTCCACTTTTGACTTTTGGAACTGTTCATCTAAGCATTTTGACTCATCAAATTCTCTCAATGTGTAAGCCTAAATATAGTCATGTGTGATCTTGTTTGATTTGTCTTAACATATAGATTATTAATATATAATTTCTATAATTTTTTAATATACAAATTACAAGATAAAATGGATTAAAAAATTATATTGAATGATGTGTAAAAATAAAAGTGGACAAATACTCTGAGACGGAGGGAGTATATACGGAGTATTGTATTGGTATATACTCCGTATATGGAGTATGTGATTAGCTCGAATTTCCAATGGTGGCATTTTAATAATTTTATTAGGAGTGCTTATTGTTCCCATATAAAATTCATGTACAGTATTTAATTTTTTGTTTTTTGTGTACGTTGGTCGATAGAAACTTAAAAAAAGAATTAATGAATTCTATTTCATATATTTATTGATTGTGAAGTTTTTTAATATAGCAAATGTAAAACTTTACTACTTTAATTTCAGAATGTTTGTCCAATTATGACTTTTTGAAATCAACTACGATCAATCTTTGACCTATAATTAAATAAGTTATATGATTTATTAATTATACAAAAAATATTTTATAATATAAATGTAATAAAATTATTCTTGAAAAGTCAGTCACTATTTAAGCTTGGATGCACTCATGGTAGCAACCATTTGGCGACACCATAGCATTTTGCTTTGAAATTTACACTAATGAATTTTTTTTTAAAAAAAAAGCAGCACTCGGGGAGTAATGGAACGAAGTAGCCCGGCTGAGTAGTGGAGCCCCGGGATCACTTGAAACTAAAGAGAAAAGAAAAGTTGAGTCGCCGAAGCTTTTTTAAGGTAGTAGCGCCTGCGTACTGCACTGGCTAACGTGGACTCTGCTCTCCCAGGATAAAACCGTTATCCCACAACATAGTCGTACGGTCTGAGGTGTGTCCGGTGAACGAGGACAACAACGGAACTGTCGTCAGGAGGAAAAATTAGAGGATTGCTGAAATATCTTTTGTCCTCTCAAAACCTACTTCCTTCATCCCAAAATAGATTACCATCTTTTTTTTCTCTCCTCTCCATAATTTTTGTTTATTTGTGTGTTTTCATTAACTATTTGATAAAATAAAATATTTTTGTCACCTTTCGTTTTCTAGAACTCTTGATGTAGTTTTTAAATATATACTCTATAATTTTTATTTCATATTGATGTACCAATTTGTAAATGAAATGATTTCAAAAGACGAGAGATTTTACCTCGTAATTTCCAATTCGTGATCAAATTAAGGACGAAGGGAGTATTTCACTCAATTTTTTCTGAGACAATAAGGGACGACACACACACATGTTTGTGTGTGTGTGTATGTATATAATATTAGCAGCTTTTGTAACGTTCAGCAATTATGATTATCAATTATGAACGTCATTAATGTAACCACTAATGACTTAAGAATTTCATGTTTTTATTTCTGAAATAAGAGTTAAAAATCATTCTTTATTAAGACTTAAGAATTTTTGTTATGAATACATTATTGATATTTGAATAAAAAAGTAAAGATCATTTGAGACAACTTAAAAAATACTTTGGGCATCATAGTTTGTTTTTATACATGGTCATCTGTACCAAATTTACATTGCATAGTTTAATTGTCTAGGATTTCTAGAAAGGGTGCGCCGGGGGAAGCGGCAGAGGGGTGTGGGGGTGGAGATTTTGCTTTGTTCCTAAAATTACAGGACTCGACGAATGAGTATGAACTGAAATTCCTTTGGACTGACACTATTTTTCCTCAAAGGTAATGTCCTACAATTTATGTAATAAAATGTATAAAATTTGAATGCAATTTTTTGGGAATTTTTTTTCTCCCAACCAAATGAATCCCAAGAGTTAAAAGTAAAAGAAATGTAGTCTTAAAAAAATTACAGAATCGACAAAACTTTGTTTAATCCCGTGCGTCGCACGGGTTAAAATGCTAGTGATTTCAAAAGACGAGAGATTTTACCTCGTAATTCCCAATTCGTGATCAAATTAAGGACGAGGGGATTATTTCACATAACGTTTTTTTAGACAATAAGGGACGACACACACACACACATATGTGTGTGTGTATGTATGTATATAATATTAGCAGCTTTTGTAACGTTCAGCAATTATGATTATCAATTATGAACGTCATTAATGTAACCACTAATGACTCGCAATTAATTACCATTAATTCGTAGGTTACAAGGTTTTATTCAAATTTCATCCATAAAATTAGAGATTAGTGACCAATTAACTCCAGAAAATGGATAGAATCTAACTTCAACGTGCAAAGGAAAAAGAGTCTTGGTTCAATGTCAAGGCAACAGACGGCTGGGACCGAGCACGAGACTAAGCCGAGTACAGAGATCCCGGAAAACCAAAAATTACCTTGGGCCGAGTAGGTCGAGCACATAACCAGGGCATGGCATGCTCCCCGGTCACTTCAGTATGACCTGGGATCCTTGGACTCTTTTCAGTGTCCCGCACACTGTGTCGATGCAAAGTCCTCGGGGTCATCCAGTTGTCCCGCACATTGTCACCAGGACTCTAGGACTAAGAGCATGTTCTTTAAGACTAGAAACAAAGAGCTGGATGTTGGAAGAAACTGGAAAAACTTGAAGGAACTGGAAGAAACTGGAAAGAACTGGAAGAAACTGGAAGAACTAGAAGGAACTAGAAGAAACTGTAAGGAACTGGAAAAAACAGGAAAAAATGGAAAACTGAAAAAACTTCAAAAAATTGGAAAACCTAAAAAAAATTTTAAAAAAAATATTTTAAATAATTGTTGTTATAAATTATTATTATTTTGTTATAAATTATTATTATTTTGATTATTATTATTATTATTATTATTATCTTAATCATCATCATCATAATCATCATCATCATCACATTATCTTAATGAATGCCTTTAAGATACAAAAAAAGTATTGTTATTTTTCAAATAGAAAAAAAAAATTTGCAAAAAAAAATAATAATATAAAGTTAGCATAAATATAAAAATATTAAATTTTAAAAATTTTTTGTGGTTACGTTGTACCTATTTTTTCTTTCATGATTGACATTTTATTTTAATTGAAATCCTATTTTTGAAATAAAGACTTAGAACTTTTTTTTACATTTTTTATGTTTTAGTCCTATTTTACTCTTTTTCTCTAATAAACTATTTTGACTTTCAATTTTTTTGTAAAAATTAGAAAAATGAGAAAATTTTAAGTAATAAAGGGAAAAGTGAGAGGTCTTTAATAAAGTTAGATTAATAAAATATTCTATGTCACTATTTTATCCATTATTTTTTAACATAGTTTAACATATTGATGTTTTCTTGTTTTATCATGTAGATTAATATACAAAAAAATTATCTTGTTCATATTAAAAAATTGAAGAAAAAATAATGAGTGTGAATCATAAAAAAAGTGAGATGAAAAAATAATTTATAAAATATAGTTATGAACATAACAGTTGTAATAATAATAATAATAATAATAATAATCACATTAAAAATATATCGTTTTTAGAGTAATTAGTTGGAGAGTAGAAAGAGTTTGAAGAAAATGAGAATAGTTGGAAGAAACTGGAAGGAACTGGAAGAAACTGGACGGATCTGGAAGGAACTGGAAGAACTGGAAGAAACTTGAAGGAATTGGAAGAAACTGGAAAAATCTAAAAAAATTGGAAGAAACTGAAAGTTAAGAGTTCAAGTCCTAAAATCAACTCTGAGAATCAAGAGTAGGTATATAGATTTCAAATTGAGTTTTATTATGAACTGAAATAATTTGTTTCAAAATCAAATCTAAAATTTTCAAGATTCTCAAACATGAAGTATGAGAAAAATCTATATTTGAAATTCAAATTCGAGAGGTCAAACATGCCATAAAAAAATTAAGTCATTTCTAAGAATAATTCCAAACTAAAAAAATCACCTTCTGTTTTTTGATTAAAAAAGAAAAGTAATCGCCTTTTAACTTAGAGCATGGGCAACGGGCGAGGCAAATGCCTGACACGCTTCCCACATCAACTCCCAAAAATGATTTGCCTAGCATGGAGATTGGAGAGTCAAGCCATTCCACCACGGAAAGCAAGCCATCTCCAAGGCACCCCACACCTCTTTTTCTTTTTTTATTTTTATTTTTTTAATTTTTTTGAGAAAAAAATACTCTTTTTTTAAGGAAGTAGAAGTATTTTTTTAATGAAACAAATAGCAAAAAAAATTTTAATAATTAAAATACATTACAAAAATTTTAAAAAGTGACAAAAGTAATGACTTGCCACTGTAGGATGTGCCACTCTACTCACGTGCCACTCTGTGACTGGACCATTTTTTATTGGTTTATTTATGTCATGTCAGCATGTTGCATTCTTTTTTTTACTTGGCATTGTTCATGCTCTTAGTGTCACTCAAACTATTTTTGAGGTTGATGGGTATATCCCTTTACCCGACCCGGACAACCAAAGAGGACAGGTCAAACTATGACCGGTCACTTTTATCAATCACCAAATGAGGTTAACTCTTCGATTGGGACGGGTCAAAAGTTGACCGGTTACTTCCACTAAAAAAGTGACTGGTCACATTTTGGGCGTTAGCCAATTCGTCACTTCATGTTACGAAGGATAGTCCGGAGGACCAAAGAGACGGGTTGAGCGCAAGAAAAGACCGGACAACCTTGGAGGAAAGATGACCGGTAAGGTTGCGTCACTTGGGAATGACAATCAACGTCAAAGGCCAGGGGACCACCCCGACGTTCGTCCTTCATGAGGCAAATAGTGAAAGGAACATTTGTCACTTTGCAGGGCTGATTGGATTGAGAATATCCATTTATAGTCTTTGATTGAACAATACATGTCTTGGCTTGTAGTTGCTAAATTCATTGATTGAATTGTAGATTGATTATGTACAGTGACCTTCCCACGTGCTTCCTATTTTGTCCATGGATAAACAGGGGAAGGTCACAAATCATCCTCTATAAATATGATGATATTGGATAGAGGAGGGGATGGAATTCATTCTTTATCTCACTAAAAAACTAGTACACTCTTGAGACAGAGTAAGAAATATATTTCGGACTGAGGAGATTTACCCAGTCTAGGTCATACTTTGTGTTCTTTTTGTGTGTT